CAAAATTATGCATTTGAAACCCTAGTTTCCAAAACCCGAAACCATTTATACAAAAACTCAATATCTAGGTCAAAACCCATAAGAGTGAGTAGGAATTCCTACCTCAAATTCGAAGCCCAAGGGAAGGAGATGAAGAAAACCAAAATGCTCCAAACTCCAAGATCCACGGATCAAAACGAAGCCCTCGACGATCAACACAACTTTTACAAAGGCCAAAGGAAAGGGAAGCACTTTAACTAGATCAAACCCTAGAGAGTATGGAGTTTCTAGAGAGAGAGGCTCTCAAAATCGGTTTTGGGAAAGTAATAGAGAGAGAGTGAATGTAAAAAGTGATTCAAAAATGCCTAACTGCCTTTAGATATACGACATTCCCGCTCGAGCGGAGAACAGGACGCTCGAGCGTCACGCACAAAAATCTAGACACGCTCGAGCGCAAGAAGGCCCGCTCGAGCGCCCAGACACAAGAATAAAGTACATCCGCTCGAGCGCGAAAACCAGTCCGCTCGAGCGTAGATTTCCCCCTCCCAGAACTCACACCAAAAATGTACTACCCGCTCGAGCTCCAATAAGCCCGCTCGAACGCGACCCGCTCGAGCGTAGAAATCACACCTGCAGAAATTTTGCAGAGCACCAAAATACTGAGAGTGTGCAATCTCCGCTCGAGCGCAAGAAGACCCGCTCGAGCGAACCTCCTAAAAACTGGACAACAAGGAATTGAAACCAAGGCCTAACCAACCTGTAACAACCATGCCCAATACATCCTAAAACTCAAACATGCAGATTTAAAGGATGACAATAAGGTATACAACCACCAACATCACGGAACCAAAGTCCGGAAAATAATAAATACAGAAAGGAAAAACCGGGATCGCTATAATACACAGTTTCCTCAAAACAGATTCGCCGCCTCACCAATGGGTGCTAGAGGAATGTTGGCGTCTATCTCCTAAGATACGACGATTAAAACCACCTACTACAACAGTACCTTCTAAGTAGCTTCGGCAAACGAACTAACAGCAACACTCTCTCACTAATAAGAACCAAAGAAAGGGCTAGCAAAAAGAAGATGAAATAATTTCTTTAGTGTAAAAACATCCATCTCTCACTTTATCACAAAAAGAAACCACGAATTTTCTATCTCAAAAATCCTCTCTAGATCATGTTTCAAAGTTTGAGAGAAAGGCCTCTATTTGTACAAGTAGATGAGTCCTTAACCATGAAAACTATCATTGACCATTAGCATCAATACTCTTCAACTCTAGCCATTAGGACTAAAGTTACAAATATTAAAACCTCACGACCACTAATATGATCATCAACTCCATCATCAAAAAATGAGAGTTAGAAAAGTTTAAAACTCCTATATGCTTAATATATATAAATAAATAAATATATAATGATGGTTGAATAATTCAAAGAGATGAGTCGCAAAACGGATATAAATATTAGGTCACAACCTGATCCAAGCTCAATCTCAAACACATGCATAAGCTGAGCCCAACACAATACAGCCCAACTCAAGACTAGGTCCAAGTGTCCAAACCCAACACATGCACAAGCACAAGCACAAACACAAGCACAAGCATAAGCCTAGGTGCAGTACAAACTAAGATCAAATCCAAATCCAAACCCAACTTCTATTAATGCCCACTTTATGAAACATTTTTCATTCACAACTTAACGGTTTCGGTTCATTTTTTTTATGTTGTAACCTTCTCACTCAAAAAAATACAAAATCACTTAAACCCACCTCAACCGACGATTCAAAATACAAAATCACTTAAACCCACCTCAACCGACGATTCAATTCCACTTTAATTTCACAATAAAATTGCTAAAAAACTATTATTTTCCAACAAATAATCCCTTGCATCTTTTTGAGATAAGTCATCTATGAGATTTTCCTTTTGTTTCATTTTCAGCTCTGTTAGGTCAACAATAGGGTACACTAGTTAAAAAATAGGGGTTTCACATCTACCTACACCTAGTATTATCACTTCTCGTGTATGGACACCACTAAGCATTGAGCAAAATTAACCACCCAATAGATGTTGTTGTCCCACCAGATGAATATATAGGTATGCTATTACACTCTGGATTACCACAATAAAATTTTAAGAAAATGTGGACAAGTGATATCTAAAAATTAATGACTCTATTAGTTGGGTTTTTATTGAGGTTGTTTTAAGATTTTACTTAAGATAATATTTAATTTATTTTTTTTATTAGTGATTCGTTAGTTATATTGATGAAAAAATAGTATTATCATATTTTTTACCGTAAAATATATATTTTACTTTCTGTATCTTTGTATCTTTACACCATTTATATTAATTTTGATCCCTTTGATACTAAAATGGAGATTGTTATAATTATGACAAAATTGTAAAACTTGTTATATTTTTACCAAATTTCAAAGAGTCGTTGTAATTTATCTTATATAATTTCATCTAATTACAGTATCAATAAGTCACTCGTCAAAAAAAGAAAAAAAATGCTGTAAAATGTAACCAATAACTAAAGCCTGGTTAGAAATAGGTTAATTGCAATTTAACCCGGTTTGGAAAAGAAGGTACATGAACTGAAAAGCTTTTAGTGAACAAGGTACATAAAATCTCTTTAGTGAACAAGCTTTTTAATGTAACTTACTTGTAGCTTGTTTTTAATTACAACTTACTCGTAGCCTGTTTTTAGTGAACGAGGTACACGAAGCCAAAAGCTTTGGATAAGAAACTATTGTACATGAGTCTTTAAAATTATATTTGGGTGACAAAAATCGTTAGGGAAAAGAGGATTTTCATTACTGGTAGCCTGTTTTTAATGGGGGATTTGACCAAAATTCTCTCATAATAAAATTTTAATGCATGAAGGACAATCATAAAAAAAATATTCTTGAAAAGTTCAACACATACCATTATTACTCTGTCTCACAGTAACATATTACTCTGTTTGACAATAACATGTTACTCTACCTCACAGTAACATATTGTTCTGTTTGAGACTAACATATTACTCTATCTCACAATAACATGTTACTCTGATTCACAATAACATGTTATTCTAGCGATATTATATAAGAAAAAATATATATATATATATATATATTACTTTATCCTTACTCAATTATGCATTTTTTCCTTAGGGAGTTTATGAAACAAAATAAATTGAGTTGTCATTTTCACCAAATAATGATCTAATAGATGGATTTTGGCTAAATTTCTTGTTTTTAATTGCAACTTACTCCTAGCTTGTTTTAGTGAATAATGTACATTAAGCCAAAAGCTTTGAAAAAGAAATTATTGTACATGAGTCTTTAAAATCATATTTTTTTGATGACAAAAATCCTTAGTGAAAGGAGGAATTTCATATGGTTTTTAAATAATTAATATTCTTTTAAGAATGTAAGATTCTCATGAAAAATTACAATTTCTACTTGGTTTGAGAATGTGATTCTCATTGAAATCAACCATCAAAATTCACCTTTCTATTCCAATCTATTTCAAACGGACCTAATCATTCTATTTTAAAATTTTGTCATTCAAACTTTACTTAAAATAATAAAAGGTTAAATACACCATGACCACCTCAAATATTAATTTACGTCCTCATTTATAAACTTGTATATTTGACTCCTTAACTATAAAAAAATCATCATTTCTACCCCTCCAAAAGGGGTCATTATGAGAACTTAAATAATTTAATAAGAAAGAAGAATACCTCCTGTAATGTTATTCAAACTTTTGAATCACACTCCCAATTAATCAAGTCTGAAATATGTAATCAAGCTGTCATAGATATGCTGTAAACACACTCTCACAAAATCATATGAATATGTGATGGAACTAAGTTTCAAACTTATTCTATTCCAAAACTTCGTCTGTGTTTTGATAGTAATCACTGACTTTTATAGATAGGTTCATGATCCAATATAACTCTTCATAAATTCCCACCATCAGGGAAGTTGTAACTTTCATGAAATCACTTTATTAGGTAGTGGGTATATCTCATGTTAGTTACCCAAAATATTTTTGCCTAAAATATGTATATAATATTTATATAATAATATAAATAAAAACAATGTGGCATGTGAGTCACTTTATGGAGACATATGCTTACAGTCATTCGTAAGATTTTTATAGTTGAGAAGGGAAAAATGTACAAGTTCATAGATGAAGGAGATAAATTGATGTTCTTTAATAATTAAAATAATCTTAGTGTAATTAACGCAATAATAAACTTAGATTTTTACTTCATTTTTTTTTGTTGATAAGTGACAATATCAAACATAATGAAAATTTAAGATTGCATTGTCATGAATGAAGGAGTCTGAACAATTGACAAGAGAAGAAAACATATTCAAATTGCATTGTGGTTTGTCATATAAGTGTTGAGTACCACATAAACTTTCCCCCTTTTCTTTTCTTTTTTTTTGTTTCTTTAATCCTCTATTAAGGGATTTAAATAGCATTACTCTATGTGTATTTGATGTCATGAAGACTTGAAAAACAACTATTGCGAGATGTTTATTCAATGCAGTATACAACAAAACTATTGTAAAAAAATCATAACAGATGATCCTTACCTATCAAGAATTGCAACAACTAGTTACAATACCACTTAAAAATCAAAATAAAAAATAAAGATGTACAATAATACAGATTGGGCCATAGTAACTAACATTACAATTACCATACCATAATGTTTATTAATTAATGAAAAACAAAACAAAACAAAACAAACAAACAAACAAACAAAAAAATGCTTTTCTAAAAAACACTTTTAAAAGCAATTTTCATACAAGACGAAAACAATATTTTCCATTTTTTTTTTTTTTTTTCAAAAGCACGAGAGCACAACCAACTAAGCTTTCACTTTGTTCACTTCTCCACAATTGAAAAGTCATCAGTTGGAACATACGCAAATATTCAAATTGCATTGTGCTTTGTCACAAAAATACCAAGTTCCACATTAGCTTTCTCTTCCCAAGATGCAACAACGACTAGTAAAACAAACAATACTCATTTAACATGAAAATATTCTAACATTAAACATATAACAATGATATTTTTTTTAATGCATTATACAATTACATTGTGCTTTGACTAAAACACAACTTGAAATTCCTAAATATTTTTCTATTTCCCAAGCAGATCAATACTTAGTGACATTACACAACTTACATTACACAACTTTCATGCACTATGTACTTGAGCTAAATCTCCTAATCTTGCGAATAAATTTCCATCTTACAACTCATTAATGTTTTCTCTCCCATTTTCCTTCCCGTCTACCATCCCGTTCTCTCCGCTCCATCACCTGTCTAGACTTGCTGCTCCCTCTAGACCCGTGTCTTCGATCAGACCCGATTGCAGGAAATTGTCCATCAAATGCTGAGACTAGGTCTGGATCACCAACGCTACCCGTGTCGCCTGAGTCCTTGCTTCCATCAAAATTTTCTTCATAACTACTGCCACATTCATCTAGACGGTCACGTGATTGTAGAATGGTCGGAACTTGGCCTGAAAATGAGCGAGATCCAGAGAGAACCACTGACGGCATGGTTGTCACTGATGAATTGCTGATTCCAGTCTCCGTCTGCAAGTTGCCACTAATTCCTCTTAAGCTGCCTTCATTACCTGATCGTACATTTTCTCTTTCACGATATCTTTCCCGAGGACGACTGCATTTAAAATCATCAAAAAGGGTTAATCCACCAAATTATGTACAATGGGAGGGGCTATTTCCGCAGCTCAAAAGGCGAAAAGTTTTATGGAAGGAATTGGGGTTTAAGATAAATGGTGTATATAAGGTGGGCGAGGAAAGAACGTTGGTTTTATATTTAAGTAAATTGTGTGTCCTTAAATGTAGTTTTGCATAAGGGTAACATTGAAAAAAAATTAAAAAATCCACTAATTGGCTGTTTAGAGGGGGGGAGGGAAATGAGCTATATTTAGCAGCAACCATACGAAGACCTATTGGCAACCCCTAAAGCCAACGTCCAACAATTAACAAAATTATGAAAATATCCTTAATTACTAAAACTAAATAAAAAATCATTATTACATTTGTCCAACAACATTCTAATCTATAAAATATATAAAAATAAGACCCAAAACTAACCCTAAATATAATCAAATGAAGCCCTAGGTGCATTCCATATTAAATTCCAAATTTGCCACTTTTTTTCTTTCCATGTTCATCATCAAATGCAGTGGTGCTAGGTTGCTAGAAAATTTTGCTGGCGTCAAACAGTTGCAAATCTGAGAGATCTTTCAGATACACAAGGCAGACTGTAAAAATTATAGTGCTCTTCAAACTCAAAGTTGAACCAATTTTATGCATAAAAGGAGAACTCAGAATCCTAAAATTTTCTGCTACAGCCGTTCCCTAGAAAAGTAGTAATGTTATGCTATTGGAGAGAGCCAACTAGTTTCTTCAAGCTTGATATAGCAACAACTTCATGGGTTTTGATAGGCGTAACATGGATAGTTGGTTTTTAATATTTGAAATAAAAATAATCATAATAGTTTGAACTTATGAAATGTGAATCTTGATCTAATTTCCAAGGTGAGGCTTCTTGAAGTTTGGTGAGACAGAAGTACCATGCTGGCTTGATTCATCAAATTCTTTTCTACAATGTGACTAAATCTAATCCAAGCTATTTTCAGCAGCAACAGTTTGTGAATTGGGAATTTGATTCGGTCAGTGCTGAATTATTCCCTTAAAGAAGCTGTTTAAGAGGCAAATTCATTTGTTAAATTGGATTTCAATCTTTTGCAGCACCTGTTCTGCTTGTAATATAGCTTCACCCAACTCCTACCAGAGAGGTTCCTATATATTGCAGAGACTAATAATCCCTTGCATCTTTTTGAGAAAATTCATCTATGAGATTTTCCTTTTGTTTCATTTTCAGCTCTGTTAGGTCAACAATAGGCTACACGTTAAAAAAAATATGGCTTTCACATTTGCCTACACCTAGTATTATCAGTTCCCATATGAGGACACCACTAAACATTGAGCAAAATTAACCATTATCGTGTCTTCAAAAAATTAACCGCTCAAGCGATGAAGATGGCCCACCAGATGAATATATAAATATGGTATTACACACAGGATTGCGACAATAAAATTTTGAGAAAATGTGGACAAGTGACATCTAAAATCAACAACTCTATTATTTGGGTTTATGAAAACCACTACATGCTCCAGGACAAGAGTTCTATTATCTTAAAACATGAAATCCTCATCCGCTTCTTGCCCAGGCTAGGCATGCATTCTGCCATTTATATCTTGAAAGTTTCAAACTCTCTTTTAATATTTCATTTGTGCTACTGGAAGTCTTCTCATGTTAAACTCATATTCATTATTAATGGAAAAGTCTCAAATTTAAAAATAACTGTCCAATATGAATGTAGTAGTATAATAAGGGACAAGGACAAAGAAGGCAGAAGGCAGAAGGCAGAAGGCAGAAGGCGGAAGGCAGACGACAGACAACAGAAGACAGAAGAAGACTACCTTCTTGTTTATTTGAGTGACAAGGAGGTATATGAAACAGTCTTCTGTTTTCGGTCACAGCAGTGTTTCTACAAATAGAGTGGCTAAGCTTTGCTTGAGAGTTGATGGAGAAGAGATAAAATAGACAAAGAAACATAAGACGTCAAAGCCAATTAGGTTTTGCCTCATGCACTGTGTTTGAGTGAAAAGAATTTATGTTTCATTTTATTTACAATTATCCTATATATGTTTTAACAATGAATTTTTTAGTTTCTTTTAATTCTTGTTGATGATTATAATTTTGTTTTCTTTATGTTCTTATGGTGGTGGTGAGAGTTGCTATGGGGCAAAGAGAATGAGAGAAGGGGGAGGCGGTGGCGGTCGTGGGTGGAGCAAAAGTAGTGGTGGTAGGAGGGGGGGAGGGAAGGGATGATGGTGGGTGATGGCATGGTAGGGTGGGTGTGTGGGGTGTGTGTATAGATTTTTTTTTTTTTTTTTTTGAATTGAATTGAATAAATTCTGTCCATAAAATAATTTCGCTTAAAGGTATTTTTTGTAATTAAAAAAAAAAGAGTCATAATTTGATGGGTGCAATGAGACAAGTGGTATAAATAGAAGCTCCTGTGGACTGCCAAGTGGTGACTATTTAGTGTGTCCAAAGGGTCCATACAAAGTCTTGAGATTTACTTGGCTATCAAGTTCTTTAGCTTCCAAGCTAGAGTCTTCTACATTTGTGGTGTGTGATGCAATGCATTTTCCTTAGGCAAAAACAAATTATGAGATTTTTTATATTTCCCTTTTTTTATTTTCTTTTCTTCTCTTTATTTATTTTTTTAATCCAGCTCTTAAGCTGCACATTCATTGCTTTGGTGCTGAGAATAAAATCCTGCATTAGACTAATAACTATCTCCTTTAGATTCATAATTATAGGGAAACTTTTGGGTTTGTTATTGAGTTGATTAACGAGGGCAAATCCATTTCAAAACGTTTTTTGAGAATTTTGTAGAGAACTTTGTTTTATTTTGTTAGCCGACCCCATTTGATGGGACTTAAGGCTTAGCTTGGTTTGGTTTGTAGGTCAGACTATCATATAAGATGCTTGTATAGGGGTGGCACCCCCTTGGCATCCTTTTAATACAATTTTAAACTTATTCAAAAATGAATAATAAAACAATGCTTGTACATGACTTGTGCCCAATGTGATCTCTTCAAATGTGAGTGTGTTATTCACAGAGAGAGAGAGAGAGAGAGAGGGGTAAACGTACCTATTATGAGTGGAGGTAGAAAACTCTCGTCGCGAAGGTCGGACTCCAGATTCCACTTGCTCTAATTCACGTTGGAGTTCTCTCTACATTCAAAGTGTTCAAGATTTATTATTTAAGAATCTAATAGTTGCAAAACAAAAAGTACACATAACTGTATAGATATATCAGATGCTATTTCATACCATCTTTAAAAAAAATGAAATGAAATAGTGCAGCATTCGCATAGTCATGGAAAATGATTTTATACTTGCAAAACAAAAAGAATAGCATGTAAGGTACTACATAGATATATTAGATGCTACTTTCAAAGTATCCAACAAAAATATGAAAAATAGAAGGGTAACAGATTCTGGATAGGATGGTTGTCAAACAAACTGTAACATCTCACAATAATACAAAGAATTGACAACATACGCTAAATAAGATTTATGTATTGACAGTCATAGTATTTTAAAAACAGAACCCAATAAAATTTCAACTAGAGAACGAAGTGAAAATTTGGCGCCAGGTCTAGTCTATTCCACTCTCCAATTTGACCCACCATAAAGTGGCCAAGGAGTGACACAATTTCTGAGCATGACTATATGTCAACTTGAACATTGGTGTCCCCTGAAATCTAGTATGCAAATAAGAGTTTCTAGCCAGCTCTCCACCTTCGCCTCATGCAGATAAAGCTCTGCAACAGAGCTTTCTTTCATAACTAAATTGGCCAAACTCTTTCAACACCCAGATCGGTGTATACTAGCCCTTCTCCTCAGGGAACCAAACATATATTCCCTTTATGAACTCCTCTCAACTCTCCAAGAAACCAATCACTATACCTACTCTCCACTACATCCCATATCTTGTCACAAACCCATGGAAGTTCATACCCAAACCAAACTAAACCAAGTCTTGTATCCCCAATCAAGTGGGATCGGCTACACAAATCTTTTTGTTTTTTTTTTTTTTTGGTTGCCATTTTACTCTGTCAAAGGTTATATGCTCAATTAAATAAAAAGAAAATTTTCACTTTTCCCCCTTGTGATTTGGCCCATGAGCAGTTTACCCCCTTATCATTTGGAAACAAGCACATAAACCCTTGTAGTTTGTAGACTAAAGAGCACCATCATGCATTATGTCCAAGTTAACAGCAAGAGTGAAACACATGCCAAGACATTAAGGGGTTATACTCATTTTCAAATGTCAAAGGGGTAAATCACGTATGGAATAAAGCATAGGGGGTTGTGCACTTTTAGACCACAAAGTACATGGGGTTATGGGGGTTACATGCACATGGGGCAAACCACAAGGGGGTAAGGTGAAACTTTCCCTTAAATTAAATAAATCCTCATCTATTTGTGACACCTTTCTTTTCCAGAGCTCACCATAATAAATCTCTAAAAACCCTATTAAAAGTTTTCTCCAAGTCTACAAAAAAGAAAAGGAGATCTTTCTTATTTTTCTATACTTTTTCATTAATCTCAACAACAAACAAATCACTTCCAACGCAGATTTTTCAAGCATAAATCCAAATTGATTATTTGATATCATTACTTCTGCATAGGTAATAAAATACTTTTCTCCATTCATCTAGCATTTTATTACTATAATTTTATTAAAAAATTTAACAAAGACACACATCTCCTATGCACTTCTGAATCTCAATAGGAATGCCATATTACCCTAGAGATCTTCCCATTTTCATCTTTCTTAGTGAGGTCTCCATTTCTAACACCCTAATTCTGTGAAAAATTTTACTCCAACTCTCTCCTTACTATTACCACTTTATTCTAATACCAAGTTACCTATATGATTTCAATTTAATAACTACCACACCTCTCCTTGATTTACTCTTCTTGAAATAGTATTCATGAATCCTCGTTCTTGTTACATTTAATATCTAGTTTACCTCCCCCTCAACTTAGCAAGTCTATACTTTCATCCTTTTTACAAAACTTACTGTAAAGATCATCATATACTTCCAATCTAACATTTCTAACTGCGTTTTTACTTTTTTTTTCTTCGCATATATATGTATATCTTTACAAGTTTCTCATTTATATTCTTTTGCCAAGTTTTATACAGAACAAGATTTTTGTCACTATATTGTGAAGATATATTTAGATAGGTTTCATAAGTCGGTCAAATTTTTAAAAGTCTAGTTTCCTTTCTAAAACTAGCTTATAGTTGGCATAGTCTTTTAAAGGCTACAAATAGACACATGATTCTTCTAATTAAAATAAAGACTGTTTAGGGAATTTGTAAATCTTTTGAAGCTCCCTTAAGATAGTCTAATGGAATTTCTAACTTTCTTCTTCTCTTCTTTTTATTCTGCACTTTTAGCATTTAAAATCCCCATAACCATATCTCCCTAGCTTTCTTTTGCTTTTTTCTCATTCTTAGAACCCCTGTAGGCAAGCCTAACTTTTTCCATTCAACCAACCAAAAATAGGACATGAACATCACCCTGTGTTTCCTATTTGCTATATTAGAATAGCCTTAAATAGTCCCTAAACCTGTAACTTCTCATCCCCAAAACCTTACCCTAGCTACTGGTACTAAAAGGGGAAAGTAACATTCTTCAGCTCTAGCTGCTGCAATTGTCCTGGTTTAATAAAAAATTGCAGAGCTTTTGACTACACAAATCTTTTCGTAAATTTGGTAAATTTAGCGTATGGGCTGTAAAAGCGGGAATGTCCCTAATCTGCATACATGTTTTGAAAAAAGTAAACACGAAGAGATCAGAAAAGAGTTTCTTTATGACTTCTAAATTATAAGGACCAAGGACCACAGTGATCAAAAGAGTTTCTTTATGACTTATAAATTACAAGGACCAAGGACCACAGTGATCCTATATGCACTGGGAGAACATAAGGAAAGGCATATATTAAACCATATGAAACAATATAACCAAAGACACACCATGGTCCCTGGTCATCATATCTTCAGGAAACGTTTCAGCCATATTCTTCATTTATGTAACAGGTTCTATTACAAGAACAGACATATAAAGAGTATCAAACGAAGATAAACAAAGTTCAGGGTTAATTTGTGATCCTCTGGCCTTGCCTGTGATTGCTTCTCTTTCTCCATATCAAGATGGTGACGCAGCTCTCTCGTTTTTGCACGCTCAAGTTCCAGTGACCGCTGTCTCTCAATCTCCCTTTCTACTTCAGTCGTCCTCTCTCTAACACACAGGAGGGCATTGGTTATTTTTAAGAAAATCCAATCTTTTATAACCATGAAACCATCACAATTTAAGGACACATGATGAGCTACAGATCAGGAAGTAAAACCTATCAAGTGCTTGAAGAAGTTCTGCTTCTCGCAAAGCTGCTTCTTCCAAATATTTTTGACGGGCACGTCGTACAAGTAGCTTCTTTTGCCTGCGACCTATTATCTCTTCTCTGATCTTGGACTTCTCTCTGATCGGACAGGAGTATCATTCAATTATATTATAAGAAAATTGGGAGAGAACAAAAAAAGAAAAATTAAAAAATTTAGAAAACATAAGCGTGTAATCCTTGAACAATGTACATCCTTCAAGAAAACAAAAAATAAGCAACATCTGCTACAAATAAAAGTCAATGCATTTGAAGCAGCGAATATAAAACCACCAAAACAAGCCCTAACAAATCACAGGTTCTAGAAACTCAATGATAGTGTCATCTCTGATGTAAAGAAGTCAAAAGAAGGCACTTTCATGAATTAAATGCGTTAGTTCCACATCCTGATGGTCAAATGGTTGGGAATGCCAGACTATGCTTCATCATAATAATTTTAAGTTTCAAAAGAATGAAAAGGATCACCTTCTACCTTCGGGGTATATTTAGGAGAGCAAATTAATTAGAGCCTTAAACAAATCATCTCGCATCAATAGTCTGTTATCCAATTCAGGGAAGTTAAGAATTTCAGAAATATAGATTGGATCCTAACCACTGCTTGTTTGAAGCTCAATGCTAGGTTATTCACAATTTCAATTTTTCTGGTAAGTTGGTAAGTTTTTGTGAACAAGTCTTGTGATTTGTCATCCCATTTTCACAGAACATTAGTAAATTGTTTGTGTAAAAGACCAATGCCACTTGAGTACCATTACCATAGTTTACAAAGATTTTATATAATACAAGAAATGGATACATGATTCATAAGCTAAATAAACAAAGATCGTATATTTTTGAAAATGGAATAATGACTTGTGGGCTAGATAAAGGAGTAATCACCAAAGCTGCATACTGGTATCTATTTTTCCTTTCTCTTTCTTGCAATAAATTCAACTTATTTAAGTGAACAAAGGAAGTAAAGATGGTGCATACAGTTGTTGAATGCTATCCTTGATTTGCTGAAGGCGGTCATCATCCTTCGCATAAGCTGCATGGCATAAAGTGGTACAATAGTACATGACAAATAAATAAATAGTCACAGAATCAAATCTGCCAGTTTTAGTGACAAATTATTACTGTCTAGAAAGGGAAGCTGACACCATTCTTTGCGATCATTAGATGATTCCTGAACCGCCTGCTCTTTCTGAAGAAGGTCTAATTCCATTTCAGCCTCCTCTAGCTCCTAAACACATTAAATTAAATCACTTGATCTAGAAGTCAAGACTTGAGAGAAACAATGATTTGCACCAGGGATGCGCAGGCTTACCATAACCTTTTGGTCAATTTTCTTCGAAAATAAATCAAAGTATGACTGAACAGATGTTAAATTGGCAAGGACCTGTCGCCAAACAATAGAAAAAGAAAAACAAACGAGTAAATTACCTTAAAGAAAATAGAAAGGTAACTGATATAGTCATGTGAACAAGAAAACCTGAAATCCACCCAGATAAAGAAATAGAAATGAAGTTTCAAGTGGAAATATTGCAGAGTTATTTTTCCAAACCAAATAATTTGAGAAGAGACAGATAAGTAACTATAATGCGTAAGTCAATATGAATGATATCAATGCGATGATAGTGTTGAGGTTTGTCATAAAAATATTGCAAGACAAGCCATCTCTAATGATCTTTTTTACATATAAAAATCAATCTATGTTACGATTGCATGAAACAAAATTTCTGTAATCTCGCAACCAAAAAAATGATAAACTTAACTGCATTAGAACTTAAAGAAGTGTCAACAATAATAGACGGTTTACAAGAAGTTAATTATCAACTTAAAACAATTTTTCGATAGCCAATTTAGTAAGAGTTATTAAGTGTCAATATGAATGATATCAATGCGATGATAGTGTTGAGGAGCAAATTGCATACTTTGTCATAAAAATATTGCAAGACAAGCCATCTCTAATGATCTTTTTACATATAAAAATCAATCTATGTTACGATTGCATGAAACAAAATTTCTGTAATCTCGCAACCAAAAAAATGATAAACTTAACTGCATTAGAACTTAAAGAAGTGTCAACAATAATAGACGGTTTACAAGAAGTTAATTATCAACTTAAAACAATTTTTCGATAGCCAATTTAGTAAGAGTTATTAAGTTTTAACTCTATGTCGAGAACTTTTTTTAGTTAATAGACCAACTGCATGCTTATTGTGTAAATGTTCAAGACTAACTTATGGATGCATATAAAGACATTTATTTTCAGCAAGGGCTGACGTGTGAGGTTTCCTAATGTAACATGCCATTCAAATCATAATTTACAACGTATGTATTAGCCAGTAACAAAGAAAAAAGGAAATCAAGTTGCATTGGAATCAAGAACCTCTCATCACTGTCGCTGAGTAAAAGAGAATGTAATCCAAACAGAATTACTGCGATAACAATCAACAGTGATAACTAAATTGCTCTACATGACAGCGGAAATATTGCTAACCTGAAGAACCGATTCACGAGTATTTGCAAAATCTGGATTTGGTTGCTCTGAAGAACTTGATGAGAGAACTTCTTTCAGGTTCTTACATGCCAAAATGTGGTTGTCAATAATTTCACGATTAGTACATAATAAGAGGGGCTTTGTTTACTATCTTTATTAAGAATGGTTGATAAGAAGTATCTAAAAAAGGAAAAAGGTAAGATGGTGATCTTACAGAGGAACCTTTGTTAACTTCTTATCTATTAAACTACATGATCATCATTCAAAACAACATTTTCATTGACTCAAGTCTAAATATTCATATTCATAAGATATATTTAACATCCAAGTGTGTAGATTTATTTTTCCAAGTAATTTAGAAAAAGTGGCTGAATCTTTACGATTCACGATTTGATTCAACTTGTGATTCAGTACAAGGCCATTTCGATTTACTATTCGAATCTCGATTTGACAACTATGCTTAAAACTCTTATTAGTACTTACCTCTTTAGCCTCATCCCCTTCATATTTCAGTTTACACAAAACTTGGCAAGCTTTTTTCTCAAGATCTCCAGGCTTACCTTCTACACAGACAAAATTGAAAGGAAAAAGGCATAATGAACAACATGCCGTTAAGAATCTCTACCCTTCATAATTTATTTATCTTTTTTTTATCAAGAAATTCTTCAAATTAAGTGTTGTCGATATCAAATGAATAGAACCATACCCATATTTGACATTCCCAAAGTTTCAATGTTTCTCCAAACAACTTGAGGAATCAAAGAATAGCCTTTGAAGAAGCATCCTGCAGACAAACACTGGCAAGGAGTGCTAACGAAAGTTGTACCAATGGGCCTTCACATGTTGAGTGTGCAAATTTTCCCAAACCATAAAGAATGGTATCAGCTGATGCAAGAAGAGATTGTAACTGGTGCCTCTGAGAAAATGGAACATAGTCAACCAGAAGTGCCATTGCACGAGTTCTCAAAAGTAATGAGGTGTCAGATGATGCCACCAAAGCCACCTGATCCCATGTACTTGAAACCAGAGATTTCAAAATTGGTTCAGAAACAGAGATAACTAAAAGGTTATCACGACACATTGATGACAGTAATGCTTTTCCACTGTACCCATCCTGCCTACAAGTCGTCCCCAAGGCTGTAGGAAACAGAAGCGTTGCCTTCTGGTCTGGATGACCAAGCATTGCACAGAGCAGATTGATCAAAGGAATTTCACCATCATGAAAGCTGTGGATGCCTCTTGCAAATAAAAATGACAACCACTTATCAGTCTGCATACGCCAAGCAATTGTCGGTCCACTACATGAAAAATTCTTTATTGCAGTACATATTGTACCAATCACACTATCCAGACAAAAACTTTGAGGGACTCTGAGTAGACAATCAAGCATCACAGATGTAACTTCCCAGCAATGGGTTTCTTGCAATACCATAATCATCTCAGAAAGTCCTTCCAGAGCAACCCTCCAATGATCTGTGGACTGGTCAGCTGATTTAGATGGAAGGATACTCTCATCCTCAATCCGAGCAGAAATGGAAGCTTTTTGCGCAATTGAAGATAAGCATCTTGAGTAAATAAAACACTCAGCTGATGTTAGTGTTAGCTTCTTTGCCAATTTATGATGAATCTTCCAACAGAGCTCAATAGTTGGATTAAGTTTGGAAACAAGCCCCTCCAAATCTTTTGAGAAATCCTCTACTTCTTCAACAGATAAATGACAAACCTTTTGACGTGAGATTACACCATCAAAGCTGTTACCTTCTGGTTTCTCAGTCACCTGAGTTGCACAAGCGCCCTGGCAGATCTCATCGAGAAACGTAGAATGTGATTCTGAGCTATTATCAGAGAGAACACCAGTGCTTACATCAGAACGCATAGGCATATTAAGTGGGATAACACCATGGACTCTTGAAGTCTCAACTAACAAAATTTTGCAGCTTTCCATAACAGTCTGAAATGCACAAAGGTAATCATGAAAATAAGTTGTTGGCTCAGAAGTAGCAAAATCAGCCCATGCCATTAAAGACTGTAAAATTTCCCTCTTACGCTGGAACGACAAATCAGGAAAAACAGAAGCTAAAATAAAAATTGTCAGTGCCCTGCTGTATACTTTTTCAGATGGAGTACCTCCATTCTCATTATTGTGTCTAATATTAGCAAAAAGCTCATCAAAGCACAAAGACTCAAAATTCAGACACGAATCATCAATCAATAATTTTTCCTCATCAGACACCTTATGTAGAGAATATGAGATGATTGGGTTTAACAAACGCAATATAGAGTCCAGGAATGACACGTCACAGTATGAGGTTCTAGATAGGGATACAAGCACTTGTACCACTCTCGATATTTCAGGCACCATAGCTTCCATGTGCTCAATCACAATGGCTTCAAGTGTGTATAGGATGATTACTTTGGCATTCTTTGCAACAAAACCTTTATAGTAATCAGCATTATTCTTGATCACAAGATGATCCTTCTCCTTCCAAGAAAATGGCCATGAACATAAATCGGAAAACCAACACAACAAATCCGGCACAACACCAGAAGAAAGTGATCTCAATTGCAATCTTACGGCCTCCAAGATAGTTTCTCCAAAAACTTCAAATTGTTTTCTCATACTTGGAAAGAACTGACTTATATCAGGGTACATGGCTCGAAAAGATTGGTCTGCATACTGTTGACCAGGAAGTTCAAAACCTTTTTCAACATTTTTGGCTTCTTTGACTACCGCTTGTTCAATCTTTGTGTTCTCATCTCTCTCTTCGACAATGTTATCTACTAGAGCAAGCTCATCAGAAAATATAGATAGTAAATATGTCAGCTGTGACAGATCTGATGCTAGGAATAGCCGCTCTTTCAGATACTGTTTAGCATTACGAGATACAGCCATCCAACCTAGAAACCGAACTAGAGGGGAAGTAGAAGAAGAGAATGTAAATATTTTCTGCATCCAGGCTGCAGAGGGAATCAAATTTGCAAACCGAAAACCATTATTTATATTAATTGAAAAGTCAGGACCCTCATCACCACCACTTGAAGCTATTACTAGCCTTTGAAGAAGCATCCACCGACGTTGCACCTCATGTACCTTTCCTGAATCCAACTGCAAATTCCCTTCCTTGAACTGATGATAAAAAGTTGTAAGCAGCCCATTAAAGTGCTCAGCGTATCCTAATATGATATTGATTACGTCTTCAGGAGAGCAGAACAGTTTAGTTGCTGACTGCAACAAGAACAAAAGACTTTGCATAAGAATTTCATGCATGGAATGTTGCTCCTTTTGCAAACACTGAATCAGAAAATTGCACAACAGTGCTTGATTCTGTCGAACTAAGGTGATAGCATCTGCTGATACAATATCATGCTGACATAAACTTAAGACCTCTTCATTCTCTTCAGCATAGAAGAGACTTGATTTCCCATCTGACATAGTTTTCTGATAAGTCCTGTCCAATTCAGCAGCCTCAAGCAAAATTTGAAGAACAACTTTGTCCCTTCTCCTTTCAAGATGAGCTACTGTTTCCAAGTCATTATCATTCTTTTTCAAAATAATGTTGACATCTGCAAATTCATTTTTTTCAGCATCTTTGTTCATCCTGTTGACTATCTTTGGAACATCTCTACAAGACACCATAAAGAAGGGATTAACATAGCACTCTGCTGCCAAAAGCAAAGCATCTATAGCAGCGTCATGACCCTCAGGAGTAATATCATGTCGTGAGTGCAAGTCTAAAGCCAAACGCCGAAACTCAGAAGCCCGCAACTCACAATCTCGATAGTTAATAAGTTGCATGTAATCTGCATGCAAATTATAGTACTCCGCAGCACAACCAGCATCTAATACTAACCTATTGTTAACCAAATTATTGATAGTTTTCTCTACATATTTCTCTTCTGTGCTAATATTTCCATGTTTTGAATCTAAGCTCTTTCTGTCTGGACTGCCAGACACAGATGTCAGTGCCATGCTCCTCAATTCTGATGATGCAAAGAAAAAACTGATATCTTCAAAAATATCCATCTTTGCACCGGTATCAGAAACATCAGTCTTTCCATCAGCTTCATCTTGGTTATTAAATTTTGAAGAGGCTCCTCCAAAGCGAGGCACAGAAGACACAGGTGAAACATTTACTGTTTCCTGCCCAAGAGGCTCAGAAATGGAATACTTGCAGTGGTCAATTTCAGGAGGTAACTGCATGTGAGGTTCCAATATTGAAAGAAGTACACTGCATAAAAGATGTCCATCTATTCATTAATAGTCCATTACAAAAAATATAGTATATTCCTCAACGTTAATATTGAGTACTTTAGAACAGCCCATAACAGATCAACAGGCAATTTCTGAGATCATTAACTTGGTAATGAATAAAAGAAGTGTACAACAGGCAAGTCTGTATTTAATTCTTACTTAACATTTCATAAGATTCCTGTGCATTTAAATTAACAAAAATAAATAAGCATGATTAGATTTGCCACATTAATGTTTGATATGTCTGTGTGTGTGTGTGTATATTGTTCTTTTCTTTTCCTTTCCTTTTTTTTCAATAAATGGCACATTAGTGTTTGATATAGAATCATTCTTTCCACTTAACACCATTTGTTGATAGATTTACAAGTACTATACAACTCTACTTGGCAAAGGCTCGTATCTCAACTACTAGGGATGGTCTCATTAATCTTTCTTTTTGATCTGCTTTATCTAAGCTGCATCTTCTGAATCATTCTTTTTTTTTTTTTTTTTTTTTTTTTGATTGGCAACAAGAGAAATTTTATTGATAAGTAACAAGAAGAAACAAAAAGAGGACAAGATGTCCTCTACAAAGAAAAGCTGTTATAACTGGAGAATAATCTCAAGTTCTACCTAGCTAGTTGTAAACCCTTGTAAAAGGAGAATTGCGTAGGTAATATAGCAGTGCAAAGCCTTATTTTCCAACCATTATGACAGGAATCCTCCAAATTTGCTAAGTGAAAATTTTCTCAGAACATTTCACACCAAGAAATACTAATGAGAGCAAGTATGTGATAGGCATCTATTACCTAGGAGCCACTGAACCACGCCTCCACTCAGATTCCAAGGATGGTAAAACAGCAGGCTTTCTTACTGCTGTGTGGATTACATTAAGTGCAATTGCACAGTTGTGTTCCTGCTTTTCCTGAAAAACTGAAGACACGTTTCCAAAGGCAATCGTGCTCTTTATTGGTGTTATGGCAGGATCAAGAAAAGGCTCTAGCATCTCCAGAAGAAAGAGAATTCGGTGCTTGGCATCCTGAAACATACAAAACAAAGAGTTTTATAGCAACCACATCTGACAGTTAAAATAATAGGCGAGCTACACACCCCAAAAAAAAAGGCTAAATTATCATTTTGTCCCAATGCTCAAAACCTCAGTATCCTCCCCCCCATCATTAAAGTCTTCAATATCACTCAAACTTTCACAAGCAAGACAATGCAGTCCAGTTTGCTAAAGGAAATACGAAAAGCTGTCCTTATTACATCACATGTTTCTTCAGCTAATTTCAGGGTTCAACCTAAGAGATAAAGTAGGCCTATCAACGGATCAGGTTTTACCGGAATCCGATTCATTTATGTAAATCCGAATCCAATATAGCCCAAATCTAAACAAAACAGATTCAGATAAATCCGATCCGATCCAATTATTTATCGGACCAGATTATAATGTTTTATCTGCAATACACTAGATGTTAAGTCGCGATTTGCAATTCTCTCATCACAGTGCAATCAATTGTCAGCAATGGCGAAAAGACTTCTTCTCCGGCTCCGTTGAAACAAGCTCAGATCTGGATTTGTCTTTTCTATTCTTTCTCAAGATATAATATATATCTAGGCACACTCAGATCTGGATTTTAGATCTGTATCTTGCTCTAATTTAAAGAAATACTATCAAATATAGAAACTTGGGTATGGAGTTCCACTTTAATCCGATCCAATCAGGCTGAGGATGAAGATGAAAGTCGTGATTACCTGGATGATGTTTTCTTCAGTCAATAGATATGACCCACGCTTACTAAACAATGAACTAAGGTGATGCTTTGGTATATCTTGCAAAAAAGAATAGATGATTTGTCTTTGAATTCACTTAATTACCATATTTGTATTCCAAAGTTTGTGGGTGAATGTTGCTGGATGATTTTCAAAAAAGGAAAAACAAAAACGGAATGGATATCCGTACAAATCTGATTTGGATTCGGATCAGCAAGAAATCGGATCAGATCAGATTGGATTTTGCCAAACACAACCCAAATCCGTTCCATTTACAGGCCTAGGCTGAAGGAAGAAAGTAAGAAGGACAGAAGACACCAATAGCAACTTCAGTGAATTAAGCTCAAGCTGCAACAGAAACAAGATGACAATGATTTTTTCACCACTGTTCCACATCAGCTAATGACTCTCATGTGACGTAGTTTTTCTCACATCTAGTAACATAAACAGGCTAGACTGCATTACTTTTACACATGAAAGTTTGAGGAAACATATAAAAGAAATATAAAAAAAAGGGGGTGATGGCATTCAAAGTTTGAGAGACAAACTGATCATTTAGCCAAGAAGAAGAATAAAAATGTGCTAGCTGAATTGACTAATTGACTAAGAGGATTTTTGTGCCTATAAAATTGGTTAGTTGCAATAATAATAAATAATTGAGCTCAGTTAAAGATGTCTTCAAGCAAAGATTTGGCATTATGCAAGATAAGAAAACAAGAGAAAAAAGGCAAAAATATGATCCAATACCTTATATTTTGACATTATATCATCCATATGCCCAGATAGAGCCAATATAATGTATTTAAGGGCAGCACGAGCACGATATGAGGAACGGCGAGCACCCTAACACAAATGTCAGCCAACAATCAGACATTCAATCTATCAGAAAAATAAGGGGAAGAGAAGCTTTCAGAAGCAAGTACACAGTTTACATGACAAAAAAAAATACCATAACAATATGAAGCATATTCAAGGACTAAGTTTGTTTTGGCTAAGGCTAAATAAGTTGGTTGGGACCTATGTTACACAGAATTTCAAAATAAATCAAATGCCCATGTCGGACACCCGACAGTCGGACAAGGGTATGGGATGTGTGTCGGATACTTTTCAACGGATACTTCTTATATAATTGTATATAACACTACTATTATATCTACATATTGTTGTATAATTGCTATAAATGTCTTTTTGACATTGTAAGTTACATATAGTACCATTTTATCACACATACTTGATTAAGAATATAAAAATATGACCTTTTTTTGCCAAGTCAGCGTACCCTTAAATTTATTATTTGATGAGTCCAACACCTAAATACATATCCACAGCCGACAACACCCGTACGCGATTCCACGTAACATAGGTTGGGACTAGAAAAGCACAAAAGACAAAATAGGCAATGTCACATTCAAACCATAATCATTTCACTTTTTCTCTCACAAAAATCAAAAAAGCCAACCCAAACGAACTTTTTAGTCCCAAGCTAAAAAAGTCCCAACTCAAGAAAGCCAACTAAAAAGGTTTTGCCAAACGACAACATATCAAAGGCAGCTTTACCAAGTTTTCTATCCCTGTCCTACATCAAGGGTGTTAACTACAGCTAGAATATTAAACTAGTTAATGATCATGATGGTAGACAGTGTAGTGCTGCATATCAAAATAATACTAACAAATTATAATTGTTGCTAATAGCACCCAAATTTATTCTTTGGACCCCCACCTATTCAAACAACTTTTTATTACAAATTTATCCTATCATGAAATTCCAATTATGCCCCCATCCTTAACCTTCCAAACCCTAACTCTAACCCTACCCCTACCTTCACCCCAGCCACCACCAACTCCCCCCAATGACCTTTTTTTGCCAAGTCAGCGTACCCTTAAATTTATTGTTTGATGAGTCCAACACCTAAATACATATCCACACCCGACACCCGTACTCGAGTCCATGTAACATAGGTTAGGACTAGAAAAGCACAAAAGACAAAATAGACAATGTCACATTCAAACCATAATTATTTCACTTTTTCTCTCACAAAAATCAAAAAAGCCAATCCAAACGAACTTTTTAGTCCCAAGCTAAAAAAGTCCCAACTCAAGAAAGCCAACTAAAAAGGTTTTGCCAAATGACAACATATCAAAGGCAGCTTTACCAAGTTTTCTATCCCTGTCCTACATCAAGGGTGTCAACTACAGCTAGAATATTAAACTAGTTAATGATCATGATGGTAGACAGTGTAGTGCTGCATATCAAAATAATACTAACAAATTATAACTGTTGCTAATAGCACCCAAATTTATTCTTTGGACCCCCACCTATTCAAACAACTTTTTATTACAAATTTATCCTATCATAAAATTCCAATTATGCCCCCATCCTTAACCTTCCAAACCCTAACTCTAACCCTACCCCTACCTTCACCCCAGCCACCACCAACTCCCCCCACTCCCCAGCTCCGGCCGCCACAACCCTTTAGCCCCTCCCTAGCTCAGGCCGCCACCCCTAGACCCTCTCCAGCGTCCCCCATCCCTCCCCACCCTCTTCCCACCCCCGTAGTCCAACCGCCACCCCCATCCCTGCTCACATTGCACCAAATGGTGGGGAAGGGCTAGAGGTTGGCACCAGAGGATGGAGAGGAGCTAGGGGTAGTGAGAGGGGCTAGGGGTTGGCAGGAGGGACTGCAAGGTGTCGCTGGAGGGTGGAGACAGATTGGGGGTGGAAAAAGAGGTAGGGAGGGTGACCAAAGCTGCTTGTGGTGGGTGGTGGTTAGGATTTGAGAGGGTGGGGGTTAATTTTGGTATCAAGTGGGGTGTCCGAAGAATTTTTACAAAATTAAAATTTCGTTGGTGGGGGTCCAAATAAATGAGAGGTCCAAAGAGATAGTGGGTGCTACTAGCTGTACCCCAAAATATGAAATGCAAGCTATCATCATACAGCATCTGTAAGAATTAAGGATACTAATTCTAAGAAAATATAATTTTGCACCAAATAGAATAGCTAATATGCTTGGGACTCGATCCTGAGAAACCATTATGGTATAGAAATTTTTTTAAAGCCACATCAACACATCTCCCAAACAAAGGCATAAAGATCCCAAAGAATTGCAAGTCTCAATAGACAAGGCTTGAATCTCAATATAGCTGCAAACGCGCAGCAATGAGGTGGCTCAAAAGCATGCATTGTACAACTACTCCAGTAAAATATTTTCTAAGAGCACATGTAAGATGTAAACTAAGTGATTCTGAGTTCAACAAATAACTAACAACACACATACACCCAGGAAGTGTTTAAACTTGAAATATGTAGCTAACTATACACAAAAAAAATTGTTAAGCATACCTGGATTACACCTAAAAGGTCCTCCAGAAGCTCCAGAGTTAAGTCCACCTGTATTAGAGTTGGTTCCAAGTCTGAGAAAGGCATTCTAGGAGAAATAAACAAAAGGACACAGCAATCATGTACCATCATCAAGTTATACAGCCTAGTACTAACACACTCTGACCTTTGCAATCACTTGAGCCATCCATGGTGCCAGCACACCTGAGCACAGATCAATGAGAACACATGCAGCCTTAGCCTGTGGGAGAAATTAAGATTAAAGCCATTTGTTTCCAAGTGAGGACAAATAAGTTCATGAACAACAAAAATCAGCATTAGAAGTTTATAGAATTTGAACTTATAAAAAGAAACATGAGGTTTTATAGTCCCAGGCTGATCACTTTCCTTAGGTTCCCATTTCCATTGTTTGATGGCCAACATATCCAATTAAGGATGATAACAATGGAAGAGGTTATGAATCCAAAATTTTTAAAAAAAAACGTCTCAAAGTATATTTAGAAAGTTAGAAGACATAACAATCTAAATGAGATATCTACTTAAAGCCACTAAGAAAAACCTAGCAGCATATTCAAGAGATTACCTCGTGTTTTAGCTTCTGTGGTATAGAATAAAAATGCTCTTGAAAAGAGAAGGAAATGAGGGATGAAAATGGTAGTTTTGATGATCCACAGATGGTACAAACATAAAAATAGTTTTGATGGTTTGTCTTACAGATCAAACTGGTAGTTGAGAAGTTGGTTGGAGGTATACTTGGTGTTCTTGAAATGGATTCATCAAATTCAGGTGGTACAAGTACAACATTCAATTGTTGCCAAGATAGGCATTGAATTTGAGTAGGATGTCACTGCATGCGCAGAGGAATGGGTTGTGTTATATGCTTGTTGTTACCAATGAGTGAACACAAAGGTGGCTCAACTAGCCGCACTTAATGGGTTTTGGGTTTTTTTTTTAAGTCTTTATTTAACGAAATTGCATGCAAGTAAACAGTCAGCTTTATATAGATCTCATTTTGTGGCTATAGTAGATCAAAATAACATTTTTGTGGGTCTTCTTGATTGAAAAAACTTTTTGACCGGACATTCAGTATTTTTCTTTTATCTTACATAGTTATAGACTTGGGTATGGAATTCTGTATTGTATCATGCGAAGAGGAGACGACTAAAGTCAGTTATAACTATTAGGAAACAAATTAACATCTAGTGTGCTGAGAGTAGGTTACCTTTTGGCAGAACAGTAGCAACTAAGGCATTTTAAGGCTGTGAACATGTTTGATACAATGTGATCAAAGCAATACCAGCTTTGGATTTCATGCGTACTCCATACTGTAAACTTAGGAATGAAACAAATACAAATATGGGTTCCAGGTGTGTATATGAATGTCTTTGAGTGTCTGTATCTATGTTACATGGACTTTTCAAAATAAATCAAATACCGTGTTGGACACCCGATACTCGGACAAGGGTATGGGATATGAATGAAACATGTGATCAAAGCAATACCAGCTTTGGATTTCATGCGTACTCCATACTGTAAACTTAGGAATGAAACAAATACAAGTATGGGTTCCAGGTGTGTATATGAATGTCTTTGAGTGTGTGTGTCTATGTTACACAGACTTTTCAAAATAAATCAAATACCGTGTTGGACACTCGACACTCGAACAAGGGTATGGGATATGTGTCGGATATTTTTCAACGGATACTTCTTATATAATTGTATATAACGTTATTATTATATCTACTTATTGTTGTATAATTGTAAATGACTTTTAATACTATAAGTTACATATATTACCATTTTATCGCACATATTTGATTAAAAATAAAATATGACATTTTTTTTGCTGAGTCAGCATACCCTTAAATTTATTGTTTTATGAGTCCAACATCTAGATACATACCCGCACCTGAGTCCATGTAACATAGGTGTGTGTGGGTTAGAGAGAGAGAGGAGAGAGAGAGAGAGAGAACAATAAAAGATTTTTCATAATTTTCCTATAAATAGAAATTAAAAGATAAAAAGCAGAAATAAATCCTAAGAAATCCTAGAGGGGAAGGGTAACCCACATGTGACGGAGAAAATGATGATAAGTAGCCAGCACAAACATGAAGCAGTGGTCTGTATACCGGTGAAGAAGATGTTGCCACAATCTGCAGTTACAACTAAAATGGTCGGAACAATATGGTTTAATGATAAGTATTGGAATGAAAATCATACTAAAACCACAGAACAACCTGAGACAGAGCATGTTGCACAAAAGGCTGCTTCCATATTGAGAAATTATCATCAACATGATCCGGACCACTGACATTAGGACGAAGAGCTATTACACAGCCAAAAAAAGAAAGTCAAAGTTCTCTAATGCAATTTCACGAGGGATCTCAAAAAATATTTACAAACTATGACTAATACTGCTAAAAAAATAAATTCCTCCAGTTGAAAGAAACAATTTATAGTAACAGGATCTCATAATATTTAAATATCAAAAATCAAAGCGAAGAAAGCCTTCAATTCCTTGAATGTTAATTCTGAACAACGATTACACTAAAGAAGAGGCAATAAGCCACTGACCTGGCAATAATGCTTGTACAAGTGGTAATGCAGACCAGAAGTCAGACATGCTATCTGCCAACTTGCTACAGAGCAAAGGCTGTAACACAGAACATTTAAATTGATGGTCAAGATGACAAAAGACAGACATCACAACTATACAAGTCAGTGAAGCAGTGATGATCCAAGACTGATGATAGCTCACCTGCGATGCACAAGCATAAAGAACATGTAATATCCCTTCTTCCACTGCCCCAACATCTAAGACGCTGAGATAGTTGGCATCCCAATGATCCTCAGGTATCCGGAATTCATCCCCAAACAAGTTTGAGTAATCAACTAAAACAGGAGGATTAGATAATTCAGAGTTCGATGCTTCATCAGGAGAAGATGTGGTGTCTGATGAAGGAATAGATGATTGTTGCAATTTAAGGGGTTCTATAAGCTTCAGCAGAATTCTAGAAGCCTGAGATAAAGCATAAGATATGCACCAGTGAATACAGAGCAATCTAAAGAAACTTGAACCTTGGCTGGGAGGGTAAAATTAAGGGCATCTTTTAACAGGTACATTACCAATCTGCAAAAAGTTCCCAGATGAGCATCTCTGTAAGCCTTCCTCAGCAACATAAAGATTACATCAGGACGGAACACTATGGAACTTGCTGTGGGCAAGAAAAAGGGTGATGTGCTGCGTGATCTCCTTGGCTGGGCATGAAAAGGAAAAGAATAGGATTAATCACCAGCCATTTTCACAGTTTATTATTTGTAAAACTAAGCAACTTAATTTGTCTGTGAAAGTGGCTGAATATAGTTAATCCCTAAAGTGATTTTTAGTGTATCTAATAATGTGATTTGATTTGGAAATAACACCAGAGTTTGGCTGGAAACTTATGCACATTTACAATCTTATACACTTGTCTTAATAGTTTAATTTATTTGACATTAATTTAACGATTCCAGGGTCACATTCAATTCACTTCCACATTGTACACTTGTGCCCATTATCTGAAGAGTAGTCGGCCTCAAACATGTTCAACTGTTTAATTATTGACCTTGTATATTTATATAGGCTTTAGTTTCAATTTACAAACATTTCCAAAACTTTTTGTTGTTTCCCTTGTGTTTCTAAAACATCTCCAAATTGTTTCCATTTCCAAACGAACTGAAAACAACACACCAAAATGAAATATTTATCATTGTCTTCGAGTAGCTTTCTTGTTGATTTTTCCCTTTTGGGTCCTTTTCTAACATCAATATGTGAATGATAAAGTCTGCCTATTCATTTTTCTTTAATCTTTAACAAAAACCATCTAGATATTTTTTAAGATTGTGAGGCAATCATTTTAGTAGTTGTGTATCATCTTGAAGGAGGGGGAATGGATCCATTTAAATGGGTTTTACATGCCACGTTGCACAGGCCTTAACCAACCAACTTCACAACCGAGTTTGGCTCAAGTGGGCCTACTGTGACCCACAAACCATTTTGACCTATCCTGCCCTGTCAAAAAACTACCTCTAGCTAGCAGCAGCCCTGTCAAAAAAATCTCAAATTACAAAAATATCCCAGCTTCTTAGGGCATAGTTAAATATTTATATAACTGTATTAGCGGTGCAAGTGTGGTGCTCAAATCCCAAAGTTTCCCTTCTTCACATGGACGTCGACTAGGGACGCTATTCTCACAATTGATAATCTAAAGAGAGTGAGGTAAATTTCTCTCAAACAAACAGAAACACATTGAAGAAGATTATTCTGAATCAAACATGAAAAAGCGTATAAGCAAAACACAATACAAGAGCAATACAAAAGCAGAACCATCTATTTTTGCATTGTCGAATGGCATGGGATATTTCGAGCTTATTGCTTTCTGCTTTTGGTACTACATGGGTGATGCCAGGGTCAGTAAACAAATTTTTTGCATGCCAAAGTTCTAGATTTCTCAGGAGAAGGCTTGGGAGGTGGCTCCTTTATGCCTCATGTGATGCATATGGAGGGAGAGGAACCAGAGATAATTTTGAGCGAATAATGAGTTCCCCTTTGTGCTCTGAAGGAAAGTGTTTTGACTTTCCATTGCGCTTCTCCATCTTTGCGGATTTTTTGGAGATATGTCCCTATAGATATAGCAGGAGCTTTTATCTGTTTCTTTTTGTATACAAGGTTGTGCCCCTTTTGGCATTTTTTACTAATACACTTCATTACTTATCAAAAAACAGTACTAACAAACAACATACTAAACCATAACTAATGTAATATCAGAATTAATTGGACAAAAAATATATCAAATGAGGTACTCAAGCAGCCCCCATACAAATTTACCAATTATGTCCTTTTTCTTATTCGCATACTCCGCAGTGAAAAATTAACTGTGCAGCTACAGCTAAAGCAAAAATATATTGGACGACAAAAAGACAAGATCAAAGAAAAGAGAATAGAAGCTACCTCAAAATTAGATGAAACAGTCAAAGCTGATGATGATTGACTATTCTTTGAAGCTTCACTGTCCGAAATATTTCCAGCCAACCTGGAGGTTTCTCTGAACCAACAACCAAAAAAAATAAAAAAAAATCACTAATGTTATCTGTCGTATACAATAATATTTGGTACACCAAGATAATATAAACTACAAAAACCATATAATATTGTAGAATCTATAGATGTAGGAAGATAATATAAGATAAGATAATCAACAGATATAGGTTGGTCTTTTTCTGAATAGGAATCAAGCTCCAAGACAAGCTAAGCTCTTGCAAACATAATTGCATGCTTAGTTGCACAAACCAGGGGCAAGGGTGAAGGCTATAACAGGAACGGGAACAGAAGCAGCACATAGAAGAGAATAGGATTGGGAGCACCTAGGTAAGTATCTATATTTAAGAAATATTTTGTTGTTAAGTTGTAAATGTATATCTTAAATGTAAACTGTCAAAACATATTAGTAAATTCTCGCGACAAAAGTAACAATTCGTCACCAATAACATATATTCTTATTCATTAATCCCTACAAAACCCAAACTAAAAGATCCATAAAAAAATCTTTATCCTTTAATTCCCAAGAGGAAATCCAAATCTAGGATAAATACATGTTCTGTAAGATCACAAGGTATGGAAAAAATGTAGAAGCAACGTAGATATGTCACCAATTACTGAAAATTTAGCTCAACACCTAGATAGTGCCAATTATTTGGCATCAGCTACAACCAACTATTATCAACCCGCAGCCCTATCATATCCTCAACCAAATGCTTTCTCAATGTATTTTGGCGATTCCACCAAAGTGTAGCAAAAAGGATAAAACAATGAATTTCACAATCACAGGGAAATTAAGCTGTCCGAGCTCAGCAGTATATATGCATCTATGACAAGTATTACAATTGTGGTGCTAATTGGAGAGATGTAAGCCAGACAAGAAAAATGACCTCGAAGGATTGGAATGGGAAAAAATGATTCAGAAGACTGCTAAACCATTTGGAAACAACTCCAAAAGATTCCCACACTATATGTACATCTATCAGAGATTAAAGTGAATATGTTGAACCAGTGTCAAAGGGGATCACGTAGCTTTCCAGTATATTCCACACAATAATTTCAAACTCCAGCCCTCAAAACTATGTTGCATGAATAGCTACAACAGATGCATCTAGTGCAAGGTTCACTCTTGATAGCAGCAAATTAACCGTCTCCAAGATTAAAAAGAGGTATGAGATAATAATGAACTCACGGCACTTCAAGCATCTCTCCATGAACACTGTTATGGTGTTTCACATAAGACAGCTCATCCTTAATAATGCCATTGCAGGAATTCATATAGTCGTGTGGCACAAGTAACTACTTTAAAGGAAGGATCACTACTAGGTGGTCGTTATCATTTGATTGCATGAAAATAACAATCCCAATTAAGTGCAACGCAGAGAGCTGAAACTGAAGGTGATAGCATTTTTATCACTAGGCTCCACCATTCTACATTATCTTGCCAAATGCTTTCTGAGGTTTACTGCATGGGAAAACCAGGAGACATTCTGCAGAGAGCTGAAACTGAAGGTGATAGCATTTTTATCACTAGGCTCCACCATTCTACGTTATCTTGCCAAATGCTTTCAGAGGATTACTGCATGGGAAAACCACGAGTAATTCCGCTGCTCAGAAGGCCACACTCCGACAAGTCTATTTCTCAACTGTCAGAATAATAGGAAGGGTGGGCAGTATCAACGATTATTAATAGCCTAGAATATCCAGACTTTGATGTACTGAACAACCAAGCAACTACTATTTATACAATCTAATAGCCTAGAATCTCTAGTCGTTAAAGTCCAAGGGACTAGCAAATTTTTTAGCTACTATGGCCCTGTTTGGTAGAGCTGTGAGAAAGTACTTATAGCTTATGCCTTAACTGCTTATAACTTATAACTATGAACATAAGCTGATTTCTGACTTATAAATTAAGCTTCTCCTGCCCCCACTCAAAGAATAAGCTGATTTCTGACTTACAAAAAGCTATAAGCTGCATTGTTAAGCTAAACCAAACACATCACAATAGCTTAAATTAAGCTGAAAGCTGAAATAAGCTGAAAAAAGCTGTACCAAACAGGGCCTATATAATTTAGCTGCTGGGTTTTTTTTTTTTTTTTTTTTTTTTTTTTTTCTATTGGCATTTTTAATTTGTTTCTGTGGAACCTGTTCTTTTTTTTAGATTGGACCGGGTTGGGTTGCTGTTCATAGTTTGGCACACCATTCATGAGTCGGTACTGAGTTGGGTTAATGAAACAGATAATCAGCGGCACTCTGACAAGTCTATTTCTCAAATGTCAGATAAGTCAAATTCTGACAATTGGTTTCCAAAAGGAGCTACAAATGATCAAAACACCTAATCTGAATATGCTATGGAACCTACAACATCTTAGGTTAGGGCCTACACCATATTTTGGAGAAAGTGTACCAACCTTTCATTCACAATATGAAGAATCGGATAAAAAGGGCCGGCAAGCATGGCAAGGAAACGCAGATTGAGCTCTGGAGCATCCGAAAAGCTGCTAAGATCTGCCTACAAAATAATTAATTCACATGCTCAACAAAATCATAGCATATGGAATACAAAAGGCAGTGATAACGGAACTCTTAAATCTTTTTGAGTAAACTACCTCAAGTTGGGGAAGGAATGCAACCAACCGGTTAGTCATGTCTTGAAGCAACTACAAACTAATTGGCATTAGAAGGCAAGGGTTTATGATAACAGAGGAAATAAATAATCAAGTAAGGTGTGTATGTTTGCATATAAATATAATATGAACCACCTGGAGATGCAGGTCATGAGCATCTTGTTTGTGTGATATTATTTGCGGCAACAAGTGATTAACAACTGGTTGAAACTCAGGTTCAAGACCAGCAACTGAAACCCCAATCAACTGCAACAAAGATCAAACCTTAAATTTAGATTGAGTTTGAGGTTCACACAATTCATGGAATGCAGAAATGCTCCAGACTATTTGCTACGAGCAGCAAGCTAAGTAGCACGGACAAATGACACGACACGACACGACACGAAACAACACAACACACTATCACTGAAATTTTCAAAAATGTAGGATGCACACGTAGGGGACACGTGCAAAATATATAATTTTATATATTTATTATATGTCATTTATAAGCAGAAAGTCAAAGACAATAATTTTTAAAGTCTAAAGGACCAGAACTGGTTTTTTTTTTTTTTGGATTGCAAGTTATTTTATTCAAATTGAAAAAGTGTTTCCTGTGTCTAAGGTATTAGGAAGTGTTCGACGAGTGTCATGTCATGTCGTGTCGAACACGACACAGTACCTTGTTAGAAGTGTCCATGTTTCTTAGGCAGCAAGTCATTGTTTCTTTGAAATAAATAATAACACGACACAGTACCTTGTTAGAAGTGTCCATGTTTCTTAGGCAGCAAGTCATTGTTTCTTTGAAATAAATAATTAAAAAAATGCAGAAGTTGTATTAACTTTTGAAAGTTTGTTATATTGAACCCATGATTTCTAAGAACAAAAATATCCCCTATTCCTCTAACTTTTTGATCCCTCGCCTTTTATTCACCTTTTAGAAAACTTCTCAGCTGCATTAAATTTAAAATACTATCTCAAGGTCTTGTTGGATAAAAACGAATTAAGGGCTCATTTGCATGTCAGGAACAGGGGCCTTGGAATCGGCACCATGCCTAGCCTTGAGATGATGAAAAGGACTTCGGCACCTTTTGGTGGTGCTTTTTTTAATGAATTTTACTTATCAAAAAACAAAACAAAAACAAAATAAATGGCTATATTGAATTAGATGATTAGTTGAAATGTTATGAAATCGAATTATCAATATCAATAACAAAAAGAATAAGAAGAAAAAAATCTACTAAAACCTAAGTTATGAACAATTCCTGATCATTGGAGTTTTCTTATTTTAACTATTCAAAAACATGTAATGATTTATTTAGTGGTAGACTTATTGCAGACCATGCAGTAGTTTCTTTTCTTTTCAGTAAACAATGATAGAAGTAAAAAGCTTTTTCATTGAAAACACTCAAGCATTGATTATTGACTAGCCCATTCCCCTGGCAAGATGAATATAGCTCTGCTACTTCTCTAGATTGTGATCATAGGAATTAAGCAAAGTGGGGGCAAAAAACCCTATTAGTTTAATGGGGGAGATGGATGGTAATTGTTTTTACATCTTCTTAGGTACAGCATCATTTCTCAACTTTACAAAGGATCACTGCTCCTGTGAGATCAATTCTTTGCACAATAGCTCATAGATCGACAACTCAAGAAAATACTCAAAAGGTGTATGGTCCATGATCAATTTTTGGATTTTGTGGTGTCAATTGATACATGTGGGGTATAGGTTTTTTTTTTTTTTTTTGGTTTCCCTTACTTTGTACTTTGTAGCATCCTTTCTTGATGCCTTTATCAATAAATTTTGAACTTCTAAATTTTGAAATTAAAAAAATAAATAAATAAAGGAGGGATTAACATGTAGAAATCCATATTTCTTTTTTATTTTAGGCATTGTCCTTCAAATCATTTTCTTCAAACTTGTGTCAAGACACCAGATATGCCTCAAGTATATCTAAACAATAGACATGCATGTCACACGTCTTTGAAGTGTATGTAGATTTTTAGAAAAATAAAAAGAATAATAGGACATGTGTTGGCATGTGTCCCACAAGAGTTTGTGTTATGTGTCAAACACATATGTGCCACCTAAGGTAAGACCTGATTTATCCCAATGGGTTTGTAAGCAGTTAATTTGGGCCTCCTTTTACTGAGGCACCATCAAAACTTGCCAATCATGTGCCAACACTTTGTTAGGAAAATGTAATCATCATCCCATCCAAACCAAGAGCTTTACCCACGTTCAACTTCAGTGCTTCTACAACCACTTCAAAAGGTGTCTCTACTACTCTTAGCCAAGACAGTGGACTCATTACAAAATTAGAATATGTCCCACAAAGTACTGGCCTTCTAACACAAGCAGCCCCCTCCCAAAATATATACACACATATATACGAAGTGAGATAAAAGAAGAAGAATTTGAATGACTTCACAAATGTCCACTTCTTCTTCAGCTAAATATTATCATTTTCTCCTAATATTATTTTCTGTAATTATATCAATTTCATTTTCTTTTTAATGCATTATTTGTGACATATTTGAACTGTACTGAGCAGGATTTCCAAAAACATATCACATCATTATTGTGTACTAACGTTTCTGCATAACAATGACAAATCCATAACAGTTATTCAAGAAGAAAATCCATGAGCAATTTATGGAAATCCCCATATTTTGAGCGCTTCTCCACTATTAACAAAAATCAGTAGTTTCCCCGCCAAAAGAAGAGGTAGAATAATCATATGAAAAATAGGCCTATCATAGGAATGCAAAATGCTGTTTAAATTGAATACATCAGTGTAATGTCACTTTCGACACCGAGAGATATAAAATCTAAAGCCGTGTTCCTTGAAGGGTAATAGAAAGACAACAAAAGAACCATGCAAGTTTTGTTACACTGACCACAGTAAGATCAAAAGGCAATATTATTAGTTACAACTTTTTGAACTCTGCACAAAGTGACTGCATCAACAAAGGACAAGTATAACTATGAAAGCAAAAAGACCAGGAACTAACAGACCTTAATTAATAACAAGCGGGAAGGAAGTTAAGAAATGATCCAGAATTAGAATATAAACTGATGCAGATTAGAATATTAAAACAGTAGCTTCTTAACCATAAGGAGGTCAAGGTATTTTAATCATATAAAAATAGGACTATCACCAGGATGCAAAATGCTGTTTAAATTGCATGCATCGATGCAAGGTCACTTTTCACACCAAGAGATCTAATATTTAAATTCATGCTCCATGAAAGGTAATAAAGATACAATAAAAGAATCACAATGATAGAGAGCTCTAATTTTGGAGCTCTAAAGAGAGCTCTAATGATGTGACAAGAAGGGAAAAAAAAAATGGCACACACATCACATCACATGTGGGCCCCATTCCTTGCCACATCACTAAAGCTCCCTTTAGAGCTTCAAAATTAGAGCTCACAATCTTTATTCATAAAAGAAAAGCAATTTTTTATTGCATTGAACACAATAAAATCAACAGACTATATTATTAGTTAGAAATGTTTAAATTCTTCTGAGTACTACATGAGAAAGTGTATGGGCCATGACAACCAAAAAAAAATACCAGGAACCTATAACAACATTCACAAATCTTGATTCATTACTAGTAGGTAAGAAGTTTGGAAATGATCTGGAATTAGAATATCAACTGATGTGGATTCTCATATTGATGAGGATTATAAATTGTCAGGAGAAAATTCATATTCATCCACAACATATGAAGCTCAATTTTGGGGAGAAATTCTATTTTTTTATGATACATCATGACCAACAACAGTTTAAAATCTATGGAGTAATTAGAAACTAACTTGTATACTATGCTAAGAACCAATAGTGAAATGGTTGTGCTGATCAAAAGCAAAAACTACACATGATCATTATTAAATATGACCTGAATGAAGAAAACAGCAATTGGATTCCCCCGCAAACAAGATATTCGCACATAGCGGCATGGAGTGTAGTTCATGGGGTACGTCATGTCACGCCTAGGTGCTTCACAACGTGGACGAACTTTTACAAATGTCTCTGGCTGGTAAAGACAATCAGTCACTAAAGCATGCAAACTGCTAATATCCAAAAATCAATATAAATAATAAGGCAACATAAGATTATTCAATCAAAACATGAAAGATAGTAGTTTCCATAACCTCCAAGGTATGCAATATGGTGTTTTCAACACAAGCATGCCATAATGAATGTGGCAACTAGAAAATTAAGAATTCACATGCATATGACTTCTGCATTAAAACAGTCATTAATAAAAATGTAGCCATTGATCGAGTGTCCAAAAACTTACCCAAGAGATATGCATTTTAAATAAAGAAAGAATTCACACTACTAACCCCAACCCAAAAATTTAAATAAATAAGGTAGAAGAAGAATTAAAATAAAAGTGTGAAAGGAAAGAAGGAACCCATCAAGTAACCCACCAGACTAATACTGCCCCGAAAAAAAAACCATCTAGACAGATGGAGTCATCCAAGGGAAAGGACTAAACAACAGTAAATCAAGACAGAATTTACATTTTAAACGCATCTCAAAATAACACAATACAGGACATTAATCTAAAAACAAACAGCTCCAATAACTTGATTGATTGATGGTCAATTAGTTCAATTTCCTAACCTTGTAACGCAAGCCAACTGCAATTTCCCATTCCAAAACTGACTTATTATAAATCCTTATATGTGATAGCAAGCATGGTTCCTGCAACAAAGAAAATGTAAGAAAGCAACTACATCTGCAGCATGTCAGAAGAAGTCAAAGGATTAAAGGTCAGATGATAAATGGTCAATACATAACAAAGATAGTCTCCCGGATCAAAAAATTCCAACTCCAAGGAAAGAAAAAAGTAAAAAACTCAGCAAATTTAACCATCATCCATGTAATTGAGCAAAAGCTTGAAAATGAAATCTAACATAGCATATATGAACCTTTTGATCAATTATAGCAACGGTTCATCATAAACAAGAAATGTTCCTTAATTCTAAGTTCAAAATTCAATTACAAAAGGGAGTAATTTAAACTAAGTAGAACACACACACACACACACACACACACACACACACACACACACACAAAAAAAAAAAAAAAACTAGAATAGATCTAGGGAGTGCAAAAATATATGTCAACAGTAACTAAAAGTACTAGATTCTTAAAGTCTCCGAGTCTGTTATAGCCAAGGTTTAAAGTAATAGTAGTGACCGCTGTAATGATAACGGTGTTGTTGACATGGTCGAAGGGTGCAACAGCCATAGCGTAATGGTGGGGCCAATTGGGGCCATGAATTTTTTACTTCTTTGCACAATTTTAGAAAAACTTACCGATACGCATGTTTTTATTTCGGAATCACTTTTAGTGGGATTCAAAATGATTTTTGGTAAGTTTTGTTTAGTTTCTAAACATGATCCAATATATACTAATTTTTACACTAGTTAAGTAGTGGTGGAGCCTGGATTTTGGTCAAGAGGGGCAATATCAAAACAAAAATATTGGGTTGGGTCAATTTAGTTTAGTTTGGTTTCGTAAAACAACAATTATCAATATTTCAAAATTGTTACATACATATCACTACAACAAATCATTGTAACATTTAAGTCTAGAGAACTCTCAACCAATAAGAGTACAAAAAATAAAAATGTAGAATGCGAATAAAATACATATAATAAAAGGTGATGCGCTCTTAGATTTCCTTGTGAAGCAAACAAGAAGTCAATCTATGCCTGTGTTCGAGTCAATGTGTATCAAGTTTGTTAGAAATATAATCGAAAAAGTTTTAACTTAATAATTGGAACAACCAGTCCATTTTTAAACAAAATCTCGATAATTTTAACATTTCAAATGATACAATAGGCAAACAAAAAAAAAAGTCCTAATTTATTTAAGCAGATAACATAAATAATTAAATTATATTTTTAAATGAAAAAAGATGGGCTACAAAATTTAACAAATTTACGAGGACTATATAATTTTAGAGAAGACAAATTGAAAGATATTTTCAAAACCTTTAGCTAAAAAATAGTTTTTTAAAATTTAAGGGTGCCCCTCCTAGGCCTTAATTGGCTCCATCACTGGTTTTAAGTCGCTGCAGAAATTTTTCATTTTGTTAGATGTATTTAATTTTATCTACTATATTGATTACACGTATGGATACCTTCCCACTTGTTATGAAAAAATATAAATACTGACATATGTTTAATATCAAAAATCATAATCTCATAAACATAAGTTCATAATAAAAAATGTCAACATATTAATGTAAAAATACATTACATGATATCTAAACTTTGTTCAACAAATTAAACTAAAATCAAATAGATATAAGTTAATTTTCAAGGAATCAAATTAGAAAGTAATGAAAATTTGTCAATAAAAGCAAACAAGTAACGAAATTTTGAAGCGAGAGAGAAAACTAAGTTCATTCAACTTTGAAGAAACTCAAATCTTTTAAAACTTGAAGATTGGACACTCAAATCATGTAGATTTACTATTTTTCACATAAGGTCTATGTGCGTTTTCAGTGATTTTAATTTTTTTTTAATTAAAAAAATGAGAATATGTGACCTTATATAAAAAATTTGCAAAAAATACAAATGTAACAGTCGTTATGGCCATAGCTGTGTTGTACGGCAGCCTTTACATAACAATGGTGGCCACTATATTACCTAAAACATGGATCATTCTAGTACATGGAATGGGAACGAGAATGTTGTACACCACATGTTCTAAATTGTGGTACGATGAGGGTAGACTTGTATCATTTACACTATAAGAATTTAAGATATTTGCACTCGAATGGGGAGAATTTTCAGCTAAGGGGAAAAGTCCTTCGAAAAACAGAGACGAACTCTGGAGGGGAATACTTGGCGAAGCAGAAACGGAGAAACAACTCTTTGCTCTCTGTAAAGAAAGATGTCCCACCGATTACGTCACAAAATACCCCTAATTAAAAACATTTTCGAGGGATCATTACAAAAGAGAGAGGCCCCTATATAATAGCCCCTTTAATTCATTTCCTTTCTTAAATGAAGAAGTAAAAAAATGTCGTTAATTGAACAATAACCATTCCCATAATAGACTAACTCGCATTGACAATCCACTGGGAAAATAAACCATGCCTGCAAACTGTCACTACCGTCTAACCTCCGATCATAAATATTTACTCTGACCAAACCACTAGCATTGGGTGCGCAAAGGGGAGAATATTTTATCAATATTTTATCAACCTTAATACTTTTTTGTTTGTATCTTAACCTCAATTGAGAAAATAAATTAGGCAACGCAAGTTCAATACAACTGAAATCACTTGTTGAAACACCTTCAACAACCCTAGTTTTTATATCGTCCACCTCCATTAACCTAAACATTAGAAATAAAATACATAAAATTACAATTCTAAACAATTTTAAAATACATTTGACTCCTTAAAGTAATTTTGCATTCCTTTCCACTAACAGTAGCAGCCACTAAATATATGGCACCCTTTTGAATACTTCCAACATTTCCCAACAGCGTATCTTTGTAGTCCGTCCAAACATCAACTGGGAAGAACCAGTCTACAACTTCTATCCCGTGACGAACGTACTCTTTGTCCTTGCCACCAACGAGCTTGAATCTCATTTTCTTTAGCATTCGAAACCGGTCGGACTGGTCAGGGTCAACAATCCAGGTCTCAGGATTACCCTCCCCAACTCCAATAAATATCTTGTCAGGTGTGGGGACGGAATCTGACGCACTATTATCACTTATGATGAAAAACAATATGTGGTGGACCACAGTTTCATCTTTAGCATCTTGTCCCAATTGAACATTCCCAATTAATTTTATACCCTTAACCACGATCTTGTCTGATTGACGGTCACATCTCTTATTACCCAACTCAATACCATTAAGCAATCTGGCCACACCTTTATTATCAAATTTAACGTCCCTTAATTGTTCATCGTACAACTGCAACTTCCTTACTCCCCTCTTAGTCTTCTTAATATAACGCGGAATATTCTGAACGTACCGTCGGCGAATGTACGCCGCCTTAAAAGGTGCACGACCACGGTAACTCCGCTTATATCCACTGACCGCCGGTGTCCTTGACCTCCGGTACGCAAAGGGGGTCCGATACTGGCTGCTTCCTATTCCTTCCATTTTTTATAAAACACTCCAAATCTTTTATCCTACAAATTCTGATGATTCTATTACCTCTGCTAACCCTTCTGTTCAGACACCTTAGCTTTGATATATTTGCCCTCTGCTCCTCGTACACCGGAACAAACTTCGCCGGAGCTGACCGCCGGCTCTCGTACACTGGAACATCCAATAAAATGTAGAATTTTTTTTTTTTCTTCAAATTAATCATGCAGCAATGCATTTCTACGAGCATTATAACCCATTTTTGACCTTTTTGTTACGTCAAAACTTCACTCACTTTAGATTCTAGCTCACTGTATTTGATTTTTTTTTTTTTCTCCTAAGAAAACTATGAGGAAATATATTGGGGGAAAACAAAACTTACAGATCACTTTGGATCACTAAATTTAGCATTTTAGAATGAAAGTGTACTATATTTCAAAACGTGTATATCAAAACATAATTCACTAGGGTATCAACGCTTCTGGTAACACTGGGTGGCCATTATGGCCATAAAAAATGGACGTAAGCACCAAAATAACAGTTGTCACCGATTTTTAAAAACCTTGGTTATAGCATGTAATTCACATGCTACTTCTCCACTTTACCATAAACGAGTTTCTTTTTCAAGTCAAACCTCTTGAGAGTTGATCATTTCAAAGCTCTTTTCATCGAATCAAAGAAAACGCAATAGTGTCATTGGTTGTGCAGCTAATTTGAATGGAGGCCATCGAGAACAACCGGCATTTTACGAAGTTTTTACAAACCAAACCAAACCAAGCCTTAAGTCCCATCAAATGGGGTCGGCTACATGAATCCTTCTTCTCTACGCGGCCCTATCAAAGGCCATTTCATTAGTCAAATTAAGTAGATTCATATCTCTATTTATAACGCTAGTCAACGTTAATCTAGGCCTACCCTGTCCCCTAACACTTCCATCTACCGTTACAGCATCGCATCTCTTCACTACTAGCTATGTTGATCTCCGTTGAATATGACCAAACCTCTGTTGATTAGCTTATCCCCAAAAAAATTCTTCCTAAGAATCATAAGTTTGAGTGCTCTTCCCAATCTGTTTTTTTTCTTATCAATAAATGACAATGACCACTCCAAAAAGCAAAATACAGACACAACAACCAAATTCTCTAAAATGGAATAAATACAATACCCAATAATTTAAGGAAGGAATCTGTAGCATTAAATGGAGCTAAGCAAAAAATGAAACAATTGAATTGAATTGAATTATGAGAAAGCTGATGTATCAATTGAAACAAAATCTTCTTGAGAGGGAAGAGAGAGAAACGTACATCAAGTTCAAGCAAGATCCATTCTTTGGTATTGGTAGCAGTGGACCAGTGATTTCGAAGGTCAGGGTCGAGGACATGAGTGGCCTTCTGAGAAGGTGATTCGCGAGACATGCCCTTGATTTTGTAAGATAAGGGTTTAACCCTTGGCTCCAACTCTGTCTCCATCGCTCTCTCTCTCTCTCAATCTATCAGTATATCTCTCTACTGGTACTGGGCAAAACCTCAGATGTTCCACTTCGGACAGAGATAAAAGAAGACTAGATTCAACTGGGTTTTTATATCCATCATTCATGTGGGCTTGGGCCCTGTGTGTAGGCAGGCAAAGCTAGGGCGCAATTTGGACAGCCTCAACCCAGTCCAGGTCGAAATTTTTTGAAAAATTTTAAGAGTTAATCGGACTTTAATAGGACGTCAAACAAAGCAACTCAAAATTCAAATTGTATATATAAATATTTATGTAAATTATTAACTACTGAATAATATTAAAATAATTTAAATCGTTAATTCATATTTATTAGTAGTTGACCCGTGTAATGTATGTATTATTTTTTTTCAAAAAATGTTTGATGGTAGAATAATTATTGTAAAAGAATAACTTTAATTTTAATTTAAAATCAAAATTAAAGTATGATTTTAATTATTTATTTTGAAAATATTGACGCTACCATTCTATAAATTGTTACCTGCATACTTATATATACATATATATTAGTTAAATTATTTGTATATTGTGATAATTTTAAGAGAAAATTAGTAATAAATTCAATCTAAGAAAGCAGTAAAGAATTAGGTCTAGTGAATATTTTTTTGTTAGTAAGAAATCCATACTTTGTGAAATAGTTTGATGAGAAATCTTTCAAGACTTTTTGTTTTCAATTTTATCCCTTGACTTTTTATCTGTTTGACTTTTTGTTGACTATCTATTCAAATTTTTTATCTATCTGTTCAAATTTTTTTACTATCTATTCAATTTTTTCTCTTAAATTCTATTTATCTGTTCGATTTTTTCCTTTAATTCTATTTATGTATTCAATTTTTTCTCTTAAATTCTATCTATCCATTCATTTTTTTTCTATAGGTTGAAAATTTGTGTCAATTTTTTTATTTATCTGTTGCAATCATCATCATCAAAATTGATTTTTTTCTAGATCTGTCTCATACATACACACACTCACAGATATACAAATAAAATTCAAATTCAACAACAACAAACAACAAGAACTACAAAAGTAATAATAGTAATAATTTGAACAGATCTAGATCTGAAAAATCTGTTCAACAACTCAACCTAACAAAAAAAAAAACTCAGATCTAGATCTAAAAAATCTATGCAAGTTTCCTCTTTCCTTTCTTAATCTCTTTCCTTTTGTTGCCTTGTATTGACCTAGATCAACAAGAATCATATATAAACAGATCTGTCTAATTTTTGTTTAATCTATGGCAATCTGTTTCATCATCAAAACAATGGAAAATCGACACAATGGACTGTCAAACCATGGATCCTTGTAGGTTTAGATCATCAACGATGAAAATACATACATAGATATATATAGATACAGATTTATAGTTAACTATACAAATGATAATACAAATATGCATCACATGAGGTCTTATATGTTATATGTTCAACAATATATATACAACCAAACAATGATCTGAGGTCCAACAATCTAGATATAATAATCCAAACAATCTGTCTGCCGAATCTTCAAAGATGTGAGAACATAGATAAATCTGTAGAGATGTGAGCAAAGAAATGTGAGATCTAAGAAAACATGTTGAGTGTGAGAGAGAGAGAGAGAGAGGGGAGAGATGCCTTGCAAAAAGTGAAATGATTATGATTTAAATATAATATTTTATTTTATTAATTTTTTAGCTTAATTTAACTAAAAAATCAACCCAATCCAATTGCCGAACGAAACTTGAGTCATAAAAATTGTGCGAAGAAATTGAAGAGATGCATACATATGCAACTAAATTAACACGCATCAACATCAATGGATGTTGGGATGGCCGATGCCAACCTTCTTTTTAGTCATTATCATTATCATCATTTATTTTATAGTAAATTACAATAAATAGAGAAAATAAAAATAAGTTTACACTTTTGACGTAATTATAAATTTTTTTTGAATAAGATTAAAATGATCTAAATTAATACAAACAATTTGATGGCACAAAAAGAAACAAGATAAAATAGATGTTTTAATAAAAAAGATATAGTAATATTATTTTTCTATTTATATAACTAATAAATTATTAATGAAAATGGAGGTTAATCAATATGTGAATTAAAACTTTTTGGGAACTCAATATAATTATGTTAAAACTGTAAGACTTGTTATATTTTTTCTAAACCTCAAGAAAGATCAACATAATTTACCTTTCATTTTTATTTATTTTTTATTTTTTATTTTTTATTTGGATAAATTACACTGGCCTCCCTTGAAATTTAGAAAAAATATAATAAGCCCTACAAAGTTGCCATGATTGCACTAGACTTCCATAAAGTTTTAATTCATATAACACTTGATCCTTTTTTTATAAGAAATTCGCTAATCGTACGAATAAAAAATAATGTTACCATTTCTTTTACATTGAAACATAAATTTTACATTGTGTATATTTATATTTTCATATTATAATCCTACTAAAAGGTATCAGTATAACTATATCAAACTTATGAAAATTTTTGTATTTTTTCTAAATTTCAATAAATATCAATGTAATTTATAATTTTTATTTTAAAGAGTGAAACTGATCCCAATATTAAATCATATTATTTGTGCGCTAATGGTAAGTATCTAAAACAAATACTTTTAAAAAAATGGTCAGCATTTCAAATGCATGAATCAAATTCATGTTGGTATGATGTCTATAAAATAATTTATAAATTTATTATTATTTTAAATAAGAAAAAGTCATCGCCCCCAATGAAATGATATTTTCACCATAATTTTTTTTTTAAAATAAAAATAAAAATGAGGAGACAGGTTTGTTCTCATCTTTGGCTGAAGTGTCATAAGACATTCAAGCTTCAATTAGGCTAAAACTAAATAGACAAAAACAAAAGGGGAAAATTTCTCCCCGGTCCAAATCGGACATAAAATTGTTGTTAGATCTTTGTGGGCTTAGCACAGACCTCGTGTTGATAATTCAAATAGTTCGATATGTCAAACTCGTCGAATACTTCATTTCTGGAAAATATCACATTGATCAGATATAGATAGCCACTTGGTCAGATAACATTTGTGTCAACAGTAATGTGATCCGATCAAGTGGTCGTTGACACAAATGTGATCTAATCAAGTGGCTATCTATATCCAATCAACATGATTTTTTTATAGAAATGCAATACTCGATGAGTCCTACATATTAATGGTTCAAATCATCGATGTGAGTTCCGTAGCGGGTTTACGAAAGTCTAACAACACTCTTCAATTGAAAACTTAACTGAAGAAAAGCCTCTCTCAAAACGGAAATACAAAACAAGTTTAATTATTAAAACTAGGCCATGACAATCTAGATAAATCACCGAACCTGTTTCGGATTGAAAAACAAGTTTATTTTTATAAGAAAAAATTATATGACAGTACAAATTTCGAAGAAAAAAAAGTACACATTAATGATAAACTTTAATAAATAAAATCCCTCTCCATTTTTTTCATTATCTCTAAAAAAAATTCAAAAGACCACTGAATTTTTTTTTATCAAAAAATAGGAATATCCATTAAAATAGCTCAACAGTAGCTACAAGAAGAGGAATCCATCCAAAAAAAAACAAACTTGCACCATCAAAGGTAAGATGAAAAATCAAAGAAAATACAGGAGTAAATCTATGAAGAATGCCCAACTACACAACTAGTGTTTGTGCTCGTACTGCAAGCAAAGCCCGACAGGCGGCCGTAGAGCATGCCGAGGATAGATCATAGAATACATACACAAAGTGGGTAAGCAACACTACGCACAGATGGATTCCTAATACAAAACCAAACTAAAATAAAACAATAACAAAAGAAAGCCAAGACTCAACCGCCGATCGAATCGGAAGCAGGTGTCATGACCCAAACCCGCCCCTATGGGTTTAGCACCGTAACCGGCCAGTAAATCCGTGATTACCGAATGCCTGCTTAACAGTAATAACAATAATACAGAGTACAGGGGCTGGCGGAAGCCAAAACAGTAATAAAAGATGTCCAATGAGCTGTGACAGTCTGTATGCAAAAAGACTTTTCATAATATGTTCACATCCGAAACAAAACAGTATGTACATACATCATATACAGATATTCAGGTTAGGGACCAAATCCCTACCATAACAGTACAGTACAGGTACACATATCATTTAGTCTATACAGTGTTACAAAACCAAATACAAAGGGGGAAAACTAAAACACCCCAAAAAGCCCTAGCTTGAAGGACTTGGAACCTCGTATTGAGGCACGGTGGTTGGCTTGACAAAACAAGAGCTAATCCGACGCTCCTAACTCCGGTCCGGTGCCTGAACACCTACATAGGGGCGGGTTTGGGTCATGACAGAGTGGTATCAGAGCGATATTAAACCACGAGTTATACGGAACACACGTGTCCAACTGAGCTATAGGATGTCCTAGAAAAGTAAATAGGGCATTGCATGAGCATGAAAGTGTGTGTGGCCATGACATGAATATCTGTGCTAATGTGCTAATGTGGTTAAGTATGCAACTACCTATGTTTATTATTGTTATAATTGTCTATAGTGAAATGGATAATGCAAGAACTACTGACGAAACTGAATCATCTGAGGCCAGAATGGCAAGGCTAGAAAGAACAGTTGAAATGTTGACTGAGGCCTTAAGGCTGCAATAACAGAACCAACAGCCCCCACCTCCTCCAGTACAGCCAGAGTCACCTGTTAATGATGATATAATAGCTCTGACACAGAAGTTTAGCAAGATGAAACCGCCATCCTTTCAGGGAGGCCTTGAACCATTGAAGGCCGAAGCGTGGGTGCTTGAAACAGAAAAGTTATTTGAAGTGTTTCCGTGTTCTGAAGCACACAAAGTCCTATTAGCTACCTTTACTTTGCAAGAGGAAGCTAGATGGTGGTGGATGCTTGTCAGTAACACCGACACTGTTATGAATTGGGCTCAGTTTAAGGGAGCCTTATTTGAGAAATACTTTCCTCAATGTGTTAGGGACCGAAAGGTGACTGAATTTGAACAACTGAAACAAGGCACCATGTCGGTAGCAGAGCAT